TCTCAGCCCAACCTGCCACAGACTGCAGTGCGATTATCCGGGTGGCTTAAGGCCATCAAAGGGTAGAGCATATGTACGCACGTCAAGGGGAGTATATAAGGAATGTTACAGAAATATATGCTAATATTTAACAGGCTGCGATTAGTCGCTTTCTGAAACAGTGCGGGAACACGCGCGGAAAACTTTAAGGAGTATATAGGTCCATCGCACGGGTTGCGTTTATTGGAATTGGGTTAAGCCTGCGGTGCGAAAGCGGGAGCGGGCAGGGGACAAGTTTTTCTTAAATTTTTTACAAGAGCCCCGACTCCAAATCTGTCCCCTTCCATGCCTCGGAGCGTACACAGGTAAGTACGTGCCACAACATGTCTCTCAAAGTTACTTTGGAATTCGAATACACGCTCTATGTGCTAGAACAAGAGAGACACCAACCACAATCTGAAAACATGAAGTACGAAACAGGATTAAAACACAACGTATACCGAACAATAATGAAGGGGTTATCGGTGACGACCACGGCGTTTCAGACGTTGTTGTTTTTTTGACACAAACGATCATTGACTGCCGACGAATCGAGTCGTTTCTCGCATTCGACACATAGAGATGGGCAAGTGAGGAGGCCTGCATGCAGCAGGTAGCACCCGAGCGAGTTGCTCGCAACATGCAGCCCGCGGGCCGCGCATCTGATTACCCGCGCCTGTAAAGCGTGTTGGTTTCTGACGCCTTTCTTCGGCAACCTTGGGCTGCGGTCCCAATTATAGAAAAGTGTGCAGACAGTGGCCGAGACGTGTTTCTTGCTTGTATGGCGGCTCTCGCCCTATGCTCATACAAAAACATATATGCAGACATGTCATGCACTTATGCACGAAGAAAACATGCTTTGAACATGATTGAGGCCGTACATACTTCTATCATGTCTGCAGAACGTGTCTTTTGCGTGATATATTAGCAATGCGACTACGGCGCTTTAATTTTATGCCTTATCAAAATATCTGTTCGTGTCCCTTTCCAACTTCCACGCAGTCCCTGAGGCTACAATCGCCACACTGTCTGCAAACGCGCGAATAACCATAGAACCAGGAAACGATTTACACCTAAACATTGTCAAATGGATTCCATCCTAACTTACAAATAGAACACAGTTTGTTGAAGTTAATGGTGCAAAATCAGGAATTATAAATGCAACATCGGGCATCCCTCAGGGGTCAGTGCTGGGACCTGTTTTATTCTTAAGTTACATAAATGACATTGCAGATGAACTCTGCCCTGACCTCACGGTTCGCCTATCTGCCGACGATTGCTTAATATATTCAAAGATATCAAATCATGCTGAACAAGTCACACTAAACTCGGCGCTAAAAATGATTAAAGACTGGTGCATGAAGTGTAAAATTAAAATACACTACACAAAAACCGTGTATGCGAGGGTAACAAATAATACCAAAAATATCTTTTTGTCGATTATTACATGGACGGTACAACTTTATTGCGTGTAAGTAATTTCAAGTGCTTGGGTGTTAGAATAACTGAATATCTCAATTGGAATGTACAGATATATAAAATATGTATTTCAACGGAAAGAAGACTACGGTCATTACGATGTAAACTAAAAGCCGCTTCACCAGACGCTAAACTAACTGCATATATAACCCTAGTGCGCCCCATACTAGAATAAGCAAGCGTTGTGTGGGACCCGCATAGAAGTTACCAAATAAACAGGGTTGAAAAAAATTCAAAGACGAGCAGCGAGGTTTATACTCTCAAAATATAGTACGACTGACTCAGTCAACGACTTGCTAAAACAGCTCAACCTGCCGCACCTCGAGCAAGGCCGAAAAATAGCGAGATTAAAATGCATGTATTTAATGCATCGCAACCTCTTCAACATCCACCAATGCATAAAACCAAGATCAGGTCGTTTTGTCCGAAGCCATGACCCGAACCAGGTCACACCCATGATGGCCACGTATAGATACTTTCAAATATTCATTTTCCCCCAGAACTATAAAGGAATAGAACTGCCTCCCCCATAATATAATAACAATAGACTCGTTGAGTGGTTTTGAAAATGAGTTACTATGGTTATAATAATGGGGATTTTTGTTGGCTCATGTTATTTTGTTTGCGTGCTTTTTTGTGTGCAAGGCTGTTATGAATTTGTATAGTGTTTTAAATCTACTCTGTATATGTATGACCTGTAAAGGTAACGCGTGCACTAAAGTAGTGCAACTCTACTTTCAATATGTTTTAACACGCTCTGAACTCGGAGGTTTAGTGTGAGCGCGTGTCTGTGTGTAACGGCCAAAACATCAGCCATAAGGAATTTTCTTTGAAACTCTATCCTCCATTGGCCCTCGGGCTAACAGTATTAATAAATAAAATAAATGAATATAAAAAAGCAATGCGATGTAAAAAAGAACGTTTCAATATCGAACCGAAAGAAGGCGTGCCTAAACTCGCTGCCTTCCGCACCGACAAATGGTCACCGAATAAGTTCATTTCTTCTTCCCCACTTCCGGGACCGCGGAGTTCATGTTTCTCTTTCAGCCCTTTTTGACGGTGGATCCGGAAAACGTGCCGCGAGACGTCGACGACCGATCTCGCTTCTGTGCACGCGACAATAGCACCGTTCGAATGTATGGCCGATAGTATGGTCTGCAGGAAGCCTTTCTGGAACGGAACCCGCCGTGACGATTCCAATGGCCACAACATGCACAGTTTCTTTCACCCACCCTCTTTCTTTTTTCTTTTTTTTTTCTCTCGCAGGGTTCGGACACCCTTCCCCCGTCAGTCAGTCGCGAGGCGTCGACACCAACAACAATGGGTGTACCGCTCCGCCGACGGACGCCTGTCGTGTTGACACGAGACCCTGGATGCAAAAAGGAAACATCGCGCTTTTCCTTTCGTTTCTCACCGTTTCTGAGTCCAAGCAAGGCTGGTAAAATGATAAAGGTGTATCACATACGGGGTATAAGTAGAGGCGTAAGAGCGCGCACTGAATAAAGTGTACAATATAATGAACGTTCGTGTTAATCTTGTAGGGTCCTAATTTGATGCCCCGGAAATGTACTTTCTCTCAAGCTAGACAGGCGTTGTTCCGGTAGGTGGACTGAATTACATACGGCTAGTATGAGTGCAGGTTTTATTAATAATACTCAGTTTTCACAAAAAATAAAAAAATATGAAATCAAAATTACTCTTAATTTCTGATTGCTTGAAATTTCGCTAATCGCAGCTGCGCGTAATGGTGCAAATACTCGCTTCTTCGCAACCAGCTGTCTTCTCTTTATTCGCAACCTGATGCTGCCGATAAGTATTTTTACGGAATGACCGATACCAAATATAGCAGGAAGGGCCGAACCCAAATACTGTGAACCTTTTAGAGAGGTACGTACAAACATTCCACGCACAATTAAAAGGAAGTACGCGAGACATGGTACACGGTCTAAATACGGAAGCAAACGGAGCGGTCAGCCTTCGCCAGAGACGGCAACTCTCTGGGCGACGCAGCAAAGCACCCCGTAGTATACGCCCGACGGCGTTGATCCTTTGTAAAGGTGTTCTGCGGCGGAACGTGTTTGACGAGGGGCTCGGGAAGGCGGGACGCTTCGGCAGCAGCGAGACGTTGCTGGCAGCGGTGCACACAAGGGCGCTGGCTACACTCGCCCCTGTCAGTCAGTCACGGACGGGGGCAGCCGCGTACGGCCACAATGGTTCGGGCTGGGTGTCACCACCGGTCCCCCCCTCTGACAGCGGAGCGCAGTGTCACTTGTATAAACTCGGGGCTTTAGGAGGTGTGAAAATACGGCGGAGCAAACTGACACGGCTAGACTCTTCAATGCCGTCGAGGGGGATTGCACTCTGGGTGGAAAGGAGAGAAAAAGTCAGAGGTATCTCACGATTTTGACTGTGGAGTGGTGAACTTTTCGAGAAGGAGCTCTTTCCGCTGTGGTTGAAGTAAACAGTTCTTTCTGTTTTTTTTTTTTTTTTTTTTTCTTTTCTTTTCTGTTGGTGTCCTCACGTCCTGCAGCGTGAGGCCGGGAAAGGGGGGCCCGGGGGGGGGGGGGGGGGGGGGGGGGGAGGCGAGTGCTGACGGGTTGATGGGAACTGTTGACTTCTGGATTTGAGAGTCGAGTTCTATTATTGGAATTTGGAAAGCGGGGTTTGGATCTTCGACGATGGGTGTGAGAGCCTGCCCGTTGAGACGAGCTACAGTTTTTAAAAAAATAAGACGGTGCATAGGGAGAGCTCTAAAATGTTTCTCTATTTGCCTAGGTTCTCTTTTATGCGCATAGAAGGAGGGTTTGAGGCGGACTGGCGTGGCTTTTGAGATGAAGATCGGGTGATGCGGAATTCCTCTCGTCGCATTTTGGAGAGCCCTCTGGGTCCGGCTGTCAAACCGTCGGTCCTAAAGTCGACTGGCATATCATTGTCGACGTTAGGAGAGCAACCGGAGCTTAGGATCCCCTTCCGGGTACTCTGGTGTTTGTGATACTCGTTCTCAATGTCCCCCTACACATCGGTGGAATGGAGGTAAAGACGTCACAATCCGAACATTGATCACAGTTGAAACATATTTTATAGCACAAAAAACACCGTAAGTTGTTTTGCGCCTTCTGTTTGCATATCAACATTCTTTTTATTTGTATACAAGGTGTCTCCATGTCAGTTTATACTGTGATGGTACTGGTCATTTTTTTATATTAATGCGCAGACTATAAATAATAATTCCTCCCCCCCCCCCCCAAAAAAAAAAACAACCTTTAGATTCGTTTTTTTTTTCTTCACTTTCGACGTAGACGTCTTGTGTAATCCGCATATTTCTCTTCTCCCCAAACGGAAGTGACGTAAGAATATATGGGTTGTTGTTCAATTTCTTGTGTATTTGTGTCATTGTCACCGTAGTTAAGGGCGATGATGGTGAAACTTCTTTTGTTATGATTAGCAATGTAAAAGTGAGCGCATGATCACACTTTATATGCAACACCAGCCTCCTGATTTAAAAACCTTTAAAGCTGCAACCTAGAAAAATGAAATACAATCTGTTCTTTCAAGCTTAATATCTGATATGGGTCTCATTGGCCCTAGATATTAAACATATTTTTTGGAAATGGTGTTTCTACGGAGCTTGCCTTGGGGTCACAAGGGTTAGCCTGGGATTTTACTGCCACCGGGATAGGCCCATTCTCTCCCTGGGGAATAACAATGCATTCAAAAATAAGTGCAGAAAGCATTTTTTTCCAAGCGCTCTGTGTTGGAGGCACACCGACGCGCGTCCAAACTGAGAAGCTGTACGCGTCCATAAAAATGAAACAACCCCGAGCTTCTTTGTAAACAAGCTCGTAATTGCCAGCATCAAAAGCACCACCGTCCATGCGTAGACACCATATTCGCGTGAGGTGAAGGTCTACGCGAAAGGCGTGCCGATAACAGACTGTGGAAGCCAGTGTGCGACGGAGACTAGTGACACCTTCGGGGTGGACTCAACTTCAGCGGCAGGCCTCGTAGGATCAAGACGTCGCCTGATTGCCCTGATGGTCTACTGGACATTGCGAAGGCGGGGCTGCGGCCAGACCGCGGCGTCCTCTCCGATGTGGAGCTCAACCTATCGGGTCACGACCAAGGTCAGGAAGGCATCAAGACGACTCAATGTGACCTGGGAGCGGACATCTTGAGGAGAAAAGCTTCACATTGGGTAGCCAAGCAATCGTTCTCATCACTCGAAAAAACAAAAGTGTAGTGGGGTACACTTATAGGGGGTGTTTATGGGGAATATTCGAACACCCCAAAGCTCGGAGTATGTGTACACCCGCTGGTGTGGTGCACATGTACACCTTTTCTACTCCAATATCAATCGAAAAGAACACAGGTGCACCCCTTTCAATGGCGTACGGCTACACCTCTTTCTACACCCAATGAAAAAACAGGGAACAAAAATGCACCCCATTTAACGGTGTGCCATTGCACCGCTTCATAAACCCACCTCACCTAAAGGGAACACAGATGCACCCCGCTCAATAGTGTACTATTACTCCCCTTTTTACAACCAATGCCCTCAAAGAGAACACAGGAACACCCCATTCAATGGTGCACTGTTACACCTCTTTCTCCACCCACTAAAATTGAAGGTAACACAAATGCACGCCATTCATAGGCGCACCATTACACCACTTTATGCACCTGCTTCCATAACTGACTTCATAAACCTTTCTAAAACATCAAGGAAACCCTTTAAAATATGTACGCGCCCAGGTAATTGCAAAAAGGCAGGTAAAAAGGCACAAGAGATTGTTATCAAATCTCCTAGAAGTTTATTGAACAGCCTATTCCGTAAACAAGTACAAACTTGCAAGCAATCCGTGATATGTGGAGAGGTACAATGAAGCTGTTACACAACTGAGAAGATTACTAAGCAAACAAGAACCGGGGTGATTCTTAGTTAGTGTCCATTCTCCCAGCAGTCGCCAGAAATATTTCCCAAAAATTCTACCGGCAGCTGCCACTCATTGGCGGTAAATCACCTCATCGAACGACGTTTCATTCACACGCGATGTTTTACAGATAGCTCAGATTGCCTTTCCTATATTAGATTCTTTTTTTTTTTCTTGTAATAAGCCGCCTCAGCCTGTATCCGCAAAGTGACATATACGGGTGGGACAGGTGGGTTAACATTTTTTTTTTAATCAGCCGCCGCAGACTGTTGCCACGAAGCGACGTGAATGGGTGGGCTGGGTCGGAGCACGCGCCTCAGAAATACACGCCCGAAGAAATGTCCCTACAGCGTGCATTTCGCGTAATGAGTGACGATGAAACGTTAGTGTCGACGAAACGTTAGTGTCGATGAAACGTTAGTGTCAAAGAACCGTGTCCATAAAACACGTATCAACGAAAAGGTGTCCATGGAACGTGTTTTCAGAAAACGCCGGGAGAGTAAGAAAGTCCGTATTCTACTCCAGTTGTCACATGACTTTAGACAGCTAATGGCAGGCGTCTGCCGGTAGAGTTTCAGAGAATTTATTCTCCCGGCTGCTTGGAAATAGACATTGCCTAATTCTAGAGGTAATCCGGAACGGAACGCTTAATTGTTACAAAGGAGTAGGTTCCAGCGCTCTTATGATGAAAATACCGAACTTAAAATATGCAATCCGAGATATATGTCGATACGGGTACTGCGGAACAACCACGCAAACATAAAAACGAGAAGTAGAGAATCCGTGAATATTCAACACGTTGTGGCAGAAACAGTCACTTGCCGAACCGAACACTAAACGCATCACAAATATTTCTTGGGCTTTTCTTGAAGAAATCGCATGTTCGCGTTGTACGCGTAAGACTTTTCAAACACTGGTAGCTTTGGTACACCCGCCGGCAATATGGAGGTAAACGCCGGACCGTCGACCGCGCGGTCCGTGCTGTCAGCGCCATGAAGCGGCTGCCGTGGCGGCTCGCTTTCTTATCGCGCGCTTCGCCAAGATTAAGCGCTTGGATCGAGCGCTATTTTCAGATCCGCTGCTACTCCCTGCAGAAAGCGTGGAAGTGGGTTTTAATTTCTGCATCTCTTTTTGTGGGCGTGGCTAATAAAACATCGTTGCAAGTGCGACGCGGTTGGTGACACATCACACAAATGAAATATTGTGTTGTTCTTAAAAAGCGGAAAGTATAAGGTTCTTTTTTATTTGTTCCACAGCATTCCGGTTTAGCACCATGTCACAACAAAAAAATACTAAGTCACATTGTCTATCGATAGCGTCTGCAATGCTCCTTCCCAATCTACGAGCTTTTTACATGGAATTGCAGCAAAGCTGAGAATAACACTCGATTCAAGCGCTTAATCTGGACGAAGCGCGCGATAAGAAAGCAAGTCGCCACAGTAGCCGCGTCATGGCGCTGATAGCACGGAGCGGTCGACGGTCCGGCGTTCACCTTCATATTGCCGGCGGGTCTGCACTTCGTATACGTTGTCGCGGACGAAATCTACGGCAGCACCGAAGGTCGCAGCATAGCACACAAGTAACTAGGCCAGGAAGCAGGCATTCCGGGACTGGAAAAAGCTACTTCGTCATCCGTGAAACCTTTAACACGTGATCACGCTCCTGCCGTTACCCGCGCACAGAGAGCGGAGTCAAGTGATAAAAAAAGTGAAAGCTGCTTACAACTCCCTCTAACGCCGAATTAGAGCGCAGCTCTTGAGGAGGAGGAGGGAAGGGCACTGGGGGGGGGGGGGGTTAAACTAACCAGGGGGGTCACGTGACCTTGGGGGGTCACGTGACCCCCAATGCCGATGATGTCATCACTGAGGTCACTGATGACGTCATCATTGACGATCACGATGCGGGTACCGATGACGTCATTAGTGACGTCACTGATGACTTCACCAGTGATGATGACGATGACGATGCGAATGTCGGTGACGTCATCAGTGACGTCGCTGATGACGTCATCAGTGATGATGACGATGACGATGAGGATGTCGGTAACGTCATCAGTGATGATGACGATGACGATGCGGATGCCGGTGACGTCATCAGTGATGATGACGATGACGATGTGGATGCCGGTGACGACATCAGTGACGTCACTGATGACGTCATCAGTGATGATGACGATGACGATGCGGATGTCGGTAACGTCATCAGTGATGATGACGATGACGATGCGGATGCCGGTGACGTCATCAGTGATGATGACGATGACGATGTGGATGCCGGTGACGACATCAGTGACGTCACTGATGACGTCATCAGTGATGATGACGATGACGATGCGGATGTCGGTAACGTCATCAGTGATGATGACGATGACGATGCGGATGCCGGTGACGTCATCAGTGATGATGACGATGACGATGTGGATGCCGGTGACGTCCAGTGATGATGACGATGACGATGTGGATGCCGGTGACGTCATCAGTGATGATGACGTCATTAGTGATGATGACGATGACGATGTGGATGCCGGTGACGTCATCGGTGACGATGACGTCATTGGGGGTCACGCGACATCGGCGGGGGTCACGTGACCTCAAGGGAGTCACGTGACTTCGGGGGGTCACGTGACCTCGGGGGGGTCACGTGCCCCCCACGAGGTCACGTGACCCCGGTGGGGGGCTCGCGCGGTGCATTATGGGACATTTCCCATGATGCACCGGGGTCACGTGACCTCGGGGGGGTCACGTGCCCCCCCCACGAGGTCACGTGACCCCGGTGGGGGGCTCGCGCGGTGCATTATGGGACATTTCCCATGATGCACCGCGCGGTTACGCCGACGGCGACGCCGACGCCGCTCAAGCCGGAAACGGGCCCCTAAGAGCTGCGCTCTAAAAAGTGAAAGCCGTTTACAACTCCCTGTAACGCCGAATTAGAGCGCAGCTCTTGAGGAGGAGGAGGAGGGAAGGGTACTGGGGGGGGGGGGGGGGGTCAAGAGACCTCGGGTGGCGGGGGGGGGGGGTGTCACGTGACCTGGGGGGTCACGTGACGATGGTGATGACGTCATCAGTGACGATGCGGATACCGATGACGTCATCAGTGACGTCACTGATGACGTCTTCAGTGATGATGACGATGACGATGTGGATGCCGGTAACGTCATCAGTGACGTCCCTGATGACGTCATCAGTGATGATGGTGATGACGATGCGGATGCCGGTGACTCCATCATTGACGTCACTAATGGCGTCATCAGTGGCGATGACGATGACGACGCAAAGGCCGGTGACGTCATCAGTGACGTCACTGACGACGTCATCAGTGGCGATGACGTCAATGGGGGTCACGTGACCTCAGGAGGACACGTGGCTTCGGGGAGGGGTCACGTGACCCCTCCAGGTCACGTGACCTGTGGGGGTGGTCACGTGATCTCAGGAGGTCACGTGACCTCAGGAGGCCACGTGTCCTCGGGGAGGGGTCACGGGTAACTCTCGTGACCCTCGTGAGGGTAACTCTCATAACCCTCGTGAGAGTAACTCTCATAACCCTCGTGACCCTCGTGAGGGTAACCTTTTGAGGGTAGCTAACCCTCGTAACCCTCGTGAGGGTTACGAGGGCTAGTAAGCCTCGTAGCCCTCGTGATCCTCGTGAGGGTAACGCTCGTGAGAATAACCCTCGTAACCCTCGTAACCCTCACGAGGGTTGCGAGGGTTACTCGCGGTTACGCCGACGGCGACGGCGACGGCGACGCCGCTCAAGCCGGGA